ACACAATATCATTAATATCATTGATATCTCTTGATTTTTCTATTATTTTCACTTTTTTCATTATGTTTTTACACAAACATCACTCACACGTGTTCAAATTATGATGTCTGGCAAGACCCGTTTTCCACCTTTTTCCGCTCATCCACTTTTTATCATATCAATATTTGATCGTCAATTATTTAGTTTATTTTTATATTATTACTTTTTTCCATTTTTTCACAAAATTATTTTGCTCAGTTCCACTCAGTGCATTTTACCAAACAAGATAGAATTTGTAGGTTATGTATTCCATATTAGTGATATTTAGCATTTTCATTCATTTTCCACAATACGTTCATCACAAAATAATTATGGATTGGACAAAAATAGTACTTTATTTTTTTAGTCTTTGATTAATTTCTCTTTGATATTATTTTACTACAAAAACATCATCACAAAAACCGCTTCAACATACACTTCAAATATCGCTGACAGTCGCATGAATGACAGTTGGAAAAAACTCAGGGCGTCTCCATCCAATCAATATATGTCAAAATAGTTGCTCGGGCCACCGTCAAAATAGAGGCGCTCACGTCGATGTGGCCCAATGATGACCTGCCCTGCGCGAAAGATCTCCCACCATATGGGTTTTTTGATAATTTTTTTTTGCTTGACTGATAAGAGATAAGTGACATCTGTTTTCAGCAAAGTTGTACAGGACCACAAGTACTACAATTTTACACATGCTTTATTTCGTTATCTCTTATCAGTTAAGCGGAAAACTGCGAAAAACGCGAGATTTCTCTTATCATTTTTCGCGTTACTGATAAGAGATAATGACTTGGTTTCTTGAGCAAAGTTGTAGAACCCAATCTGCTCTACAGCTTTGCTGAAGACAGATATCTATTATCTCTTATCAGTTCCGTGATGAATGGAAAACCGAATATTTGCGTTTTCGCGGTTTTTCGCGTATTTTGCGGAACTGATAAGAGATAAGCGATATCTGTCTTTAGTAAAGATGTAGAGGACCTCTAGTACTACATATTTGCCGAAGACATTAAATCGTTATCTCTTATCACAGGCCAGTTTTCATGAAAAAATACACTTGGGGCGTCGTACGCCCCAAGAAACGAACGCGCGCACATGTGTTGTGGGAGGCAATATGTCACAAATTCTTACACATATGCACATGAAATTTCACTGACGTATAGCTAAAGGTTCAAGCTATCGAACGGTATCTATTTCAATGTGATTTTTTCGTTTTTTGGTACTTTTATTCGAGGTTCAAAGTCGCCTCGGGCGTTGTACACCCGACAAACGATCAGAGGGTTAAACTTGAAGTATATTCTTTATTATTAATAGCATATTTAAAATATTAATCACATTTTGGAATGTTTTTGGGACCTTTTTCAGTGAGATACTTAAATTTGACGCAAAGAAAGTATTCGGCCAAACATCAATATTGCATGATCTTTTATGAAAAAAGAGAATATTTAATATTTTGTTGGGTTTCCTTTTGCGCGACGAACCACCTGCATTCTACGTGGCATTGAATCGACCAAATTTTTGGTCACAGTCGTTGGGATTTTGGCCCATTCGGATGCAATCGTGGCTTTCAACTCAGCTATGCTACTGATGCTGATTTGGTGTATTTTTCGATCCAAATGGTCCCATAAATGTTCAATAGGATTGAGGTCAGGTGACTGGGCTGGACATTCAAGCACATTTTCGATCTTTTTGGACAACCATTCCTTCACACTTCCTGCCGTGTGCTTGGGGTCGTTGTCATGCTGGAACACAAAGTCGGATTCAATGTTCAATTGGCGAGCACTTGACAACAAATTTCTTTGAAGAATGCCTTTGTACACATACTGGTCCATTCTTCCATCGACCATTTCAACACCAATTTTCCGACACCCGAAGCATTCATGCAACCCTACACCATCACGGTACCGCCGCCATGCTTCACGGTTGGCGTTAGGTTTTTTGCCTATAACTCCGTTCCGGGTTTTCGCCACACTTTGGCCTTATTAACATTTTTTCCGTGCGATCCGACCATTGTACCCAGGTTTTTTCAGAACTTTTTTACTGTTTGCGGTGTAACTTCAACATTGTCAGTGCCAGCGATGTCTGCTGCAATTTTTGGTGTCGAAACCTTTGGATTTATCTTGATTTTTCGGACTATTTTCGTTTTCAGCCGATCGATGATCTTCGACGGCCGGCCCGATCTTGTTTTGTTCAGTATTGTGCCACTTGTTTTATACTTTTTGATGATTGAGTTTATGGTTGATCGTGGTTTTGAACATATTTCAGCGATTTTTCGCTCACTTTTGTTATTTTTGTGAAGATTTATGATGATTTCTCTCTCCTCGAAAGTCGTTTCTTTGGATTTCACCATTTTCCATCGATTCGGCGGTTTTCAAGCCAACTAAATGCGCAAATACATTCAACTAAGTGACAGTTTAGTTGTATTTCACAATATTAAAAAATTTAATTGGCATTTGTCATCGATGAATGTCAAAACAATAGAAATAAATCATGAAATCGATGAATGGCTGAATACTTTCTTTGCGTCGAATTTGAGGGTTGCGAAACCTCTCAAAAATATTCCAAAATGTGTACAATATAATAAATTTGCTATGAATAATATAGAAAATATTTCAAATTTATTAAATAAACAAAAATAGTTACGGTTTTTATGATTAAATGCACAAAAAATTGCGAAAGAAAAAAAATTTGAAGGTGGCCGAATACTTTTTTGACTGACTGTATATCAATCGTGGGCACCAATTAGGTACTAATTATCTGTACTATTAGGGTTGCATTTTTCCACCCCTAAAAAATCGACCCCCTCACCCCCGAGACAAATCTATTTCGCAGGCACGAATTATAGCTGCGCAACAGGTATACTCTGTGGTCACGTTCGACGTTTATTTTGCCAGGGTGAGCAATATTTACAAATTTTCAAGGCATTCTACCTGCAACGACGGGCTGGAGAGTTTTGGCCGATGTAGACTTTTATTTTTTGCTGCGTTGATCCCATCCAACTTAAGATAGAATACTTTCAAATGAATTTTCCCAAAAGGCCGTCAAACTGCCAATGGTTCAAATAGTCTTTTGTACACTGTAAAAAATTAAGGCTATTAGAAGCATTTAGCATTGCGACGAAGCGCAATGACTGCAAGAGTCATCATTTGATTTATTACATGCAAAAAAATAAATCAAAGAAAAGTTTTACGTCTAGATCGGAACAAATCCCTTTTGGTACCTTTTTTATAAAATAGTTATCATCTGAACCGATGGAATAAACCAGTGTTTACAATAAATTCGGATTCAGTCAAAAGAAAATATCCGATCAGTCAACAAATATTTTGATTTGGACTTTCTTTATGCTCGGATTTTTACTTTACTATGTTTAGTTAAATATGTGCGATCCATTCGTTACAAAAATTTCTCTCTCAACTATTCAGGGTATATGGACTCCAAGCGTTATATGAAAACGATTCATTCACTCCACTGTTGACAAAATTAAACTTATTCGCGCTGAGAAACTTATTCGGATGCTTAAATCGTACTTGGTTTTATTTTTCCCGACACTCTTTGCTTAAATATGCGCTCGTTCGAAATTACTTGTTGATTGCAATGACTTATTTACGTTATTGCTGTAATTTTATGTTTCATTTTTTTTCTTTCTTTTTTGCTTTTAAAACTGACTATTTTCTTTAAAAAAAATGTTTATCTTAATGCAATTGATTCAATGGAAAGAACAAAAAAAATGTGGTGGAAAGCGAATTCGTTCAGTTAATTTTAACTGATTCCCGCCCTCCCTCAAAGAAAAATTTGCATGCAATGTTAGTATGGTTGGCAAAAAAAATGAATGTGTCTGAATGGCAACAATGTACAATTTTTCGTTTAAATTAATTCTTTATGTTACTTTCAATTACATTTAATGAGTGATCAGTTCATTCAATATCATTTACTTTACGTTAATTTCTGTTTCATAAATTGACACTGTCATGTCTATTCGGTAGAGCACATGTGAACTTGGGTTTTGAGGTTATGTTCGCATCACACTTTTTTCTTTCTTCTGATGCAATTCAATCATTTACTTTTTTAACATTTTAAACTATTTGGTTCAGTTTTTCGTGATTAAATGCTTTATTTTATGCATGTTCTTTTAATTCGGGCGCCATGTGATTTGGACTTTCTTTATGCTCGGATTTTTACTTTACTAAGAATGGAATAACCTCTTTCGTTCACTCTTTACCTTTTGTTCACATATGCTTACCTTTCTTTTACGCCACTGATTCTTCTCTCTACAAAATCTTAACTCAATGACAAATGCAACGAATTGTACGTTTTTGCGATTCGATAATGTATTCACTTATTTTCTAACGCTCACTTAGACTATACGGGGATCGATGTGGCTTCTCGGTGATGATTGGTGGCCGTTCGGTTGACTCCAATACGACTTCACGATATTTTCCAGTAATTTGGGCGATAGTCAGATCCACGCAAGACCGTATGGGCAAAACAGCTTATGTTGACCGGAAAAAAAAACAGTTGATGTGGGCCGTACGGCAAAAGTCTCACCAAAAGACCGTATGAAAAACCTCACGAAAAGGCCGTATGAAAAAACCACTGTGAAACTTAAAGGCCGTATGAAAAAACCACTTTTGCAATTCTACGTTAATATATTTTCGTCATTTTGTTTTATTCTTTTTTGGGCAATTTCGACACTTACGCTTATTTTAGCTGGTTTTTCGTTATCAAATCTCTTTTGTCACTTCTTTTTCTGATGATTTCTACGGTATTTTCGCATTAATGCGCTGATTTTGTGCTAATTTCTTTATTTCGCTGATTACCATGCGTCCGTACTTGTTCGCAGTCAGAACAAAAGAGAATGACTTTTCTGTGTCTGAGTGACAGCTCTCATGCGTGAGTAGCTATGATATGAACATGCAGGCTGTGTCTCATGCCCTCTATTGACGATTCTCCCTAAATGCTCTCACAGTCTTTTTACGATATTGTTGATAGCTCATTTTCTTGTTGTTTCACAATGTTTTGTTTTTTCTTACATAATTATTGCCAAACCAGAACAATTTTGTCAATCGTAATTCGCACTTCTTATCAATTTATTGAAATTTTGAAACAACATCATGCTCGAAATTAGTTTCAAAAAGAAACAACGCCAATTTCAGAAACAAAGTAGCACGAAGTAACACTCGTTGTCAGCAACAGTATTTCAGCGGCGATCAGACAGTTGTCGTTACTAGTGTAAAAGAGAGAAGAAAAGAAGAATAAGCAAAAAGAAGATGTTTACTTCTTCTTCTTTTGTTTCTTCTCTTCTCTTATTCTTCTGTACAGCGCCAACTGTCTGGTCGCTGCTGAACAACCATTGCCAACTACGCGTGCGAAGCAAGTTTCGGCTTTAAACTGCCACATGATTTGTTATATTGCATTTTGTTTCTCATATTTGCTTTGTGTCGCTTTGGTTCAAAAACTTGCGTTCTTGGTCTTTGTTCGTAGACAAATGCCATGCTTTAATTCCATTCTCAAATATTCTGAGGGAATTTTTTTGTCACAACGGTTCATTTATTTCCTTGCAATTTAAATTACACTATTTATTATATATATAAACATGAACTAGAACTTGTAGACATAATATGGGGTCATCGGGTGGAAGCTAAGACCGAAAACAACTTGAATGAAAACTATGGCGACGCGAGCGCCCTCAATTTCAATAGGAAAATCAATGTAATTTCGTAATTTTTTCCTGAACTAAACAGCGCGAGTGAGCATAGCATACTATGCCTCATAGCATACTATGCCTATCACATCAAACTAAGCATATGATTATTCATCTAAGTAGCTTCACAGAAAGTAATCACTTAAAACAGAATATTTCATCAAAATATCTTTGCATAAGTAATCACTCGAATATTACTATAAATAGAGAGAAACTGCACTAGCAGGTTCAGTCTTGTCTCTCCCTTCAAATAGATCCAATAAACAAATCTCAGACTAGAAAAACAAATCTTTTCTTTGAAAATCTTTGGAATCTCTCATAAAAAAACCTTTAGATAAAATATCTAAATTCACTGGCGAGTCACCCGGCAGTCAGATTTTTATCCACTGACGAACCACCTCCGGACCCACAATATCCATTTTTCCTTAAAAGGACACCAACAAAAAGTACATAAGAATACTTTGGAACACCTTTTTCTGAAATTAACATAACAAAAAGTACATCCGTATACTAAGTTAAAAGGGAAGAATCGACAATGGCTCAAGATCTCACCGAAATTATCAATCAGCTGCAAAACCAAATTAACACTCTGAACGAACAACAACGACTTTTGCACTCACAAACAACCTAACCATTGCCTGTGGAGGAACATCGAGACATGACCTTCATAATCAACAGGGCAGAAGATGTATCATTACACCTCTTCAAAAATTACCAGAATTTTCGGGAGACAGAAATTCATATGCCACATGGCGAACTATCGTGAAAACCGCAATGAAACTGTTGGAAAACCACGAGACATCAATGCAATTCTGCCAAGCTCTAATGATAATACGAAACAAAATCACAGGAGCCGCGTCAAATATCTTGAATAACTACAATACTGCATTCAATTTCGACGCAATCATCGACAGATTGGATTTCACTTACGCAGACAAAAGACCATTGTATGTTTTGGAACAACAAATGTTAGTACTCCAACAAAATGAACTAACAACCGACGAATTCTTCGATAAAGTTAACGAAAAATTAAATGCGATTATCAACAAGATAAACATGACATATTCAAACGAAACCACGGCAAAAGCCTTAATCGACACAATAAACGAAAAAGCACTCCGTACATTTATCACCGGGTTAAACAACCGCCGAGGAGAAATATTGTACGCCTCCAACCCAAAATCACTTCCCGAAGCATACGCTCGACTACAAACAATCACCAATGACCAAGAACGAATGAAATTCGCATCAAAATACAATGGAAACGGATATCAACGCCACGAACCATTTTTAACAAAAAACCCACGATTCAGATACCGTGAAAAAGAAGAAGAAAAAAATGGACAGAAAAAAGAAGAAGAACCAATGGAAATCGACCAAACGTCAACAAGAGTAAACTTCGAAAAAAAAAACAACCAACCGAGTACCTCAAACCGAAACCAATCAAATGGCTTCAATCATAACGAACCATTTAAAAGAAACTTCTCACGACAGACAACAAACAATTCGGACCAAAAATTCAAACAACAACGACTCAATAAAATCGAAGAAAACTATGCGAAAACAATAATCGAAGATGATGAATTCCTCGAAACACAAAGCTGCTTAAGCGAAAATATGTCATCAGAAACATCGAGTATTTTTTTAGGCGATTAAACGGCTTGCCTTGTTTTCAACGAACAAACAAACAAACAAGCCAAAAACTAACCGGATTAATTGATACAGGTGCAACAAACAATTATATCTCATCAAAAAACACTAAAGGCGCAAAAATAGTGAAGTTAAAAAGCATAAAAACAGTTAAAACAATCCATGGTGAATCAAAAATAACATCATACGTAAAAGTGAACATTTTTTCACAAGATCTAATCTTCTTTGTACTCGACAAAATGGGAAAATTCGACCTTATCCTAGGAATGGATGGATTACGAAAAATCAATGCAAAAATCGACCTAACATCTTTCAAATTGGACTATACAGTCAAAAGTCAATCTTTAAACTACACAATAAATGAAAACACAACAGAAGAACAAAAAACAATAATCAAACAACTCATCGAAAAAAATAATCAAACAAAAACCATACCATTCAACACTAAGGTTGAAGCTGAAATTCGCACAACAACAGATACACCAGTGTGGACGAAACAATTTCCCTATCCCATGTCATCAAAAGATTTTGTCAACAAAGAAATCGAAAAACTCCTAGAAAAGGGAATTATCAGAACAAGCCATTCACCTTACAACTCACCAATATGGGTTGTACCAAAAGAGGGATTTAACGAAGACGGAACACCAAAAAAACGACTTGTGATCGATTATGGAAAACTAAACTCACAAACCATCTTCGAATAGATATCCAATGCCTGATATAAACATCATCTTGAGCAACTTGGGAGAAGCAAAATTCGTTTCAAAAATTGACCTAGAATCGGGTTTCCACCAAATAAAGATCAAGGAAAAAGACATAGAAAAAACGGGATTTTCAATCAATGGTGCTAAATATGAATTCACCCGAATGCCGTTTGGCCTAAAAAATGCACCCAGTATTTTCCAAAGAGCAATCGATGATATTCTAAGACCATTCATTGGAAAATTCGCATACGTCTACATGGATGACGTTATTATCTTTTCTAAAACAGAAGAAGAACACCTGAAACACATAAAATTGACAATCGACGCATTTACCACAGCAAACATGAAAATCTCAAATGAAAAAAGCTTCTTCTTCAACAGAGAAATAGAATTCTTGGGACGAATAACCGTTTCATCAAAAAAAGTGAACACAATAAAAAATTTTGCAGAACCAAAAACACTAAAACAATTACGAAGCTTCCTGGGGATGGCCGGAACATATCGAAAATACATTAAAAACTACGCTCAGATAATCAAACCACTATCAGTATTTTTGGGCAATAACAATGGAAAAATAGGAGCAAAATCAAGTTCGAGAGTCAAGATAACACTGGACGAAAGTGCAATAAAAGCATTCAACGTAATAAAAGAAAAAATCCAGGAAAATATCGAATTATACCAACCAGACTTCTCAAAACCATTTGAACTAACAACTGACGCATCAAATCATGCAATAGGAGCCGTCTTATCCCAACAAAACCACCCTATAACATTCATAAGTCGAACACTATCAAAACCCGAAGAAAATTTTGCAACAAATGAAAAAGAACTACTTGCGATAGTATGGGCATTAAAAACATTGAGGAACTACCTTTACGGGATAGCATCATTCACAATCTTCACAGACCACCAACCACTAACCAACGCCATCACGGAAAAAAACTCAAACCTCAAACTAAAACGATGGAAAACATTCATAGAAGAATCAGGCGCTAAAATACAATACAAACCCGGAAAAGAAAACATCGTAGCAGACGCACTCTCCCGCCAATATTATAACGCGATTAGCGATGATGGGGATTCTTACTCAGAAGCATCACACTCTGTGGCTAGCTCACCTCCACTCGACACAATAAAAAAAATCACCGCCCCAATTAACTCATTCAAAAATCAAATTTACATGGAAAAGGCAAAAGAAGATAAGATAAAAACAGAGACAATTTTTCCAGGATACATCTCACACACAATCAAATACACGAACGGGGAACAACTAATAAAACAAATCAAATTAGTAATCAACCCAAAAACCATCAATGGGCTACTAATGACAGAAGAAGAATTCTACCACAATAAAAAACAAATTGAAACCAATTTTGCCGGAATAAAATTCATCTTTACCACTACGAACATACGAAACATCACTGATGAAAACGAAAAGATGTTCCTAATCAACAATGAACATGAGAGAGCTCATAGAAACCACCACGAAAACTACCTACAGCTAAAACAACAATATTTTTTCCCAAAAATGAAAAAAAAAATACAAGCCCATGTCATCAAATGCGAAACATGCAAAAAACAAAAATTCGAAACCCATCCAAGAAAAAATATCCTGAACCCGACACCACGACCACAATATGTAGGAGAATACCTACAAATTGACATCTTCCACGCGGGAAACCGAATATTTTACTCAACAATTGATAGATATTCGAAATTCGTACTACTAAAAGAAACGAAAAACAAACTACACGCAGAAAGGGTACTACAAGAGATACTACAAATATTTCCAAAATGTAAATACATCATGACCGATAACGAAGCCATCTTCACCTCAGACACGGTCAAAGCACTCTTGAAAACAAAAAACATCACCCACACACTAGCACCAATACGACATTCAACAAGCAACGCACAAATAGAACGATTCCACAGGACAATAATAGAAATAGGCCGATGCCTAGCCGAACAAAGATCACAAGAATTCGAAGACATAATAATGGACGCAGTATCGGAATACAACAACAGCATACACTCGGTCACGGGGGCAAAACCCATAGAAGTATTCTTCAACCAACAAAGATTCCCAGAAATACCCGAATTAATCGAAAAAGCACAAAACAAAATGCTGGAAAGAGGAAACAAAACTAGAACTAACAAACAATACAAAAAAGGAGACACAATTTTTGTAAAAAACAACCGCAGAGACAAACGCAGCGCAGCCTTTACAAAACACAACGTGGAAGAAGACAGAGGTCAAATAATCATAACAAACAAAAACGTGAAAATACACAAAGACAACATTAGAACATAAAAATTAGGGACAATTTTAATTACGATAGGGAAGAGTGAGCATAGCATACTATGCCTCATAGCATACTATGCCTATCACATCAAACTAAGCATATGATTATTCATCTAAGTAGCTTCACAGAAAGTAATCACTTAAAACAGAATATTTCATCAAAATATCTTTGCATAAGTAATCACTCGAATATTACTATAAATAGAGAGAAACTGCACTAGCAGGTTCAGTCTTGTCTCTCCCTTCAAATAGATCCAATAAACAAATCTCAGACTAGAAAAACAAATCTTTTCTTTGAAAATCTTTGGAATCTCTCATAAAAAAACCTTTAGATAAAATATCTAAATTCACTCGCGCCAATTTGAATTTTGTTGTTGCTTCCACGTATGGGGTAATGGATAATTGGAATCTGGTAGTAAATTTCGAAAACCTGATCGATTATTGTTTCTGTTACACTTCGAATGGGCCACACTGTAATATTCTCTTTGTCAAAATTCAATCAGAATATTTTGTCATTTTAATAAAAAAAAATTAATCTCATTTTAGCTAAATGAAACAGATGAAAATCAAATTGATTTATCTAAAGGCAATGAGTACATCACACAAGAAATGGCGACACCGGTTACAGCTATCGAAGATAGAGAAATAACAGATGAGTTTAATGACCATATCCAAATCAATTCTAATAAACAAATGCGTATGGAATACCTTCACCCTTGGACATTGAAATTCAAGGATTCAACACAAGAAACAAAATATTGTCAGTTACGTGAAGATATGTTTCGTTCAAATATGTTATGCGTGTTTATTGTTTGGGTGTTCATTGTTCTTTGCCAAGCAATCATCATTCCAAGGTGTGCTGTTTTATTCATATGCTTGGGCGTTTCTACAGTACTTTTAACAGGCGGTTGCGTGCTGGTGATGGCAGAGGAATTTTCTACCTTACCTACAGTAAGTACATAGTACAGTTATACTTAGACATATATAGTGTATATATACACTAACTCACAACAGAAAAAGTCACAAAATTCCAGGATTACGACATCTGTTCACAGTTCGACGTTTGGGGTGGGTGGGTCTGTGGCTAAACTCCAAAAGTATGGAACATGTATTTTTCAATAAAAACTATCTTTTTTTTATCAACACCGCCAAAAAAACTGTTTTGCAGTTTTCGTTTTGCAGGAAAAAGACTCCAAGAGTTATGAAAAACCTGATCTTTTGATTTTTGTACAATTTAGTGTATAACAATAGATAGTTAAATTTTACATAAATATTGGTTCTCGACTAGTCAAAAGAATGACCCAATTTATGAATAAACGAATGACCAAATATGAAAAAGTCTAATGAAAGCCGATTGTGAACGGTTCAAGATAATCTAACAACGCGTTTGAGAAAAGGTAGACTAACTAACTGGTTTCAAGTGGTCGATTTTTTGGCTTAAAAGTAAGCCCACCTCGAATTCTTCAATTTAACGATTCGAAATCACGTTTCCCCGGAATCAATTTTTTCATCAAAGGCACTAGGCGAGTTCACAATTTAGCATTTACCATTTTTTCGTGGTTTTTCGACTACATCATTTCTGACGAAGGTGATACGTTCAGATGAAATGTTCACCAGACTCCAACGAATTAAAATGATTGGGGCCTCCTCTTTATAGGGGCAGGAGATTGAGGCTCTGAAAATCGAAAAATCACCAAAAAACACTATTTTAGGGGCAAAACAGGGCCAAACCTCTGATTTACCCCCAAACCACTATGATATTCGGAAAGCTCGCAAAAAATCCATCGTACGCGTAGAACATTGCAACTTCATGAAGCCGCCTTTTCTGCCCCAAATCGAGGTCGGTAATTTGAAAAATGGTGCCCCTACAAGTATGCAATCATTTTTAACTGCTTCCAACGCACTACCACAGGTAGGTTGTGGTTCTAAAATGTAGCGCCTGGTCTCTTGTTTCTTTTGGCATATAACATGTTTCACTTACAGTCATGGACAAAATTGAGTATTGAGGGTCTCAGGCGAGAAAATCGCCAATCGGGAAAATTTTCGGGGAATTCAGTCGAAAATCGGGGAATTTGTCAATTTTTTTAAAACAACTATTTTTGTAGTTATTAGTGAAAATTACTCCAGAAAAATTGTTTTTTGAAGTATGCAGCGGCGTCGACGCGCAACCTACAGTTGGGAAAGTGCATATTCATATACGTCATGTCAAATTTCATGCCAAATTCAAAAAACTGTTATAAAAAAGTCCGTTAAGTATTCTGTTCTAATTTGTAACTCTTGGTCATTTTAAGTTACTCTCCATTTTTTTAATTAAAAAGATGCTTGTATCATTTACATTTCATTTCTATTTTTATTTTGATATAAATAAAAACAAACAAATGATCGTTAGCCCAGAATATTACAAAATCAATGTATCAACATAAATACAATGTCCGGTTCAATCGATGTATACGCATTTCTTCATAGAAAAATTATAAAAAATAAGTAATACATATATACTTTTTCAACGCGGCGGTGGTGTACTAATTGCAACCAAAAATGACA